CGGAACGCGAGATGGATGATACGAAACCAAAAAACAGACGGCGGCTCGGAGGGTCGAAGGTCGAAGGATGGGCAGGCAGCGCGGCCTACCCAAACTCCAGCCTCCCAAGCACCTCTTCCGAGCCCTGTCCCCCACTCCCGCTGCCACTGCCACTCCCGGCCCCACTACCCGCGAGGCCACTCCCACTCCCCAAGCTCACAGGGGACCCACGCCCCCGCCCTGCGCCGCCCAGCCCCACAAGACTCCGCATAAACTCCTCGTTCATGCTCCGCAGCCGCGCGTCCACCTCGTCCACGCTCGTCAGCATCGCTTGCGCGGGCGGCGCACCCGTGCTGGCGCTCGCCCCCGGGCCAAGTGTGCTCGGGCCAAGTGTGCCTCCAGTGCGCAGCGTAGCGACGGTGCTCCCCGCCCCGCGCACCGTCCCGCCGCGACTCGTCCCGGGCGAGCTCGAGCCGGTGCTGTCGTCCGCATCAAGCTCGGGGTCGGGGCTGGGGCCGGGCGGCTCATCCTGCTGCTGGCGATACCGTCCGAGCAACGGTCGGGCGGCGTCAATGTCCTTGACGAACGTCGAGATATCGTCGTGCTGCGCGTCTGTGTCGGCGTCCACCGGCGACTTGAGCTGGAGGTGCACACAGCAATCAGATCGGGATTCATAGCAGGACGGGACGGGGGATAGAATGGAATAGGCTATAATAGAGTACGAGGGGGGAGGAAAAAACACTCACGAAGCTCCCACTCCGACTTCCGCCGCGACTATGGCTTCCGCCGCGGCTCTGCATGCTCGCCGTCCTTTCGCGCGGCACAGACCCCGGCGGGGGCCCGCTCCCCGCAACGCCCACGCTCCCGCTCTCACCGCTCCCCCCGCTGCCGACGCTGCCCGTGTACCGGTGCGGGAAGCTGCTCGAGTATCGCTTGCGCGTCACAGGGATGCCCACCCCCGCGCCCGCTCCACTCCCGCCCGCACCCGCACCGGCACTCGCACCACCCAAGCTCCCGCTCTCCCCAGACGGCAGCGGCGCGGGGCTCGGCGGTGCGGGGCTCGGCGACGCATACGCAGGGAACGCCACCCCCATCGGGCTCGTCGCCCCGCTCCCGCTCCCCCGCCCCGGGCTGCCCGCGACACCCCCGCCCCCGACGCCGCGCAGCAGCGACCCGCTAAGTGAGCTCCGGCTGAGCGTGTTGCTCTTGAACGGGTTGATCGCAATCGTAACGGGGCGGCTGCCACTGATGCCTGCGCCTGCGCTGCCGCTGCTCCCGCTCCCACCCGGCAGACTCGAGCCCGCGCCCGGCCCTGGGCCAGAACCGTAGCCCCCCGCCGCGCCGCCCATGCTCGAGGGCGTACCGCCGCCGCCGCCGATAGGCACCCCCCGCTCCCGCTCGCGGTCCCTCTCGCGCTCGCTCGCCATCGCAAGCGCAAGCGGGGACGGCCCGCCCCCGCCCGCGGGGCTGCCCCGCACCCCCGGCCCCGCGCCAGTGGTGATGGTGCTCGACAACGACGACGCCCCGCTCCGCGGCAGCACGAAGCGGTCCACCACGACCTCGCCCCCGCGCGAATTCCGCCGCGGCCCCGGCCCCGCGGCGACGTGCACGCCCATCCTGTACGACGCGGACGAGGCCGAGGAGGGCGACGCGGAGGAGGCGTCGCGGTACGGCGCGTTTCGCGCGCCGGGGCCGGGGCTGGGCACGTCGCGATACGAGGAGGACGAGGACGCGCGCGACTCGCTGATCGTCCGATGCGGGTGCTGCCCGTAGATCGGCGACGCCGGGTACGCGCCGCCCGCCTCGCCGCTCGCGCTGACGCTGCGCAGCGAGTCGACGCGCGGGCGAAGCGCGCTCGTGTACCGCCCCGGCGAGCCTGAGACAGGCGGGAGCGGACTATTATACCGCCCCGGCGAGCTCGACACGTTCGGGAGCGGGCTGTTATACCGCCCCGGCGACGCCGACATGCCCGACCCTCCGACCGGCGGCAGCGGGCTGCTATACCGCCCCGGCGACCCCATCGCCATGCCCCCCGCAGACGACGTAGTCGAGGTGGTAATGGACCTCCGCGCGAGCGTCGGCACGAACTCCTCGTCCTCCCCTTCGTCTTCGTCCTGTGGCTGCAGCGGGTAGCCTGAGGCGGTGGAGGTGCGCCGCCCGAAGCTGCCGTACTCCCCCAGCGGCTCGCGGCGGCTCCCGCTCCGCGGGCTGGGGGTGTATTCGCGCGTCGACACGGGGCCGGGGGCGTACGCTTCTCTGTCATCGTCTCTGCTGCTCCCCTCTCTTTCCCTTCTACTCCCCCCCTCGCTAAACTCCCGCCTGCTACTCCCGCTTCCACCCGCACCAAACCGCGGCGGCGCGTACTCCCCACCCCGCCCTGCCCCGTCCGAAAACCGCGCTAGCGCCGGCGCCGGCCCCCGCGCATCGAGCACCGCAAAGCGCGACGAGAGCAGCGCTTCGAGCGACTCGAGCGAGAAGGCCGGCGCAGTGAGGTACGTCGCGGAGAGCGCCAGCGTGCCTGTGATGCAACGAACAGTTTGTTTAGTTATCGTTTCTCGTCGTTGAGGATCAAGCAAGAAGAGGAAAGAGGCAGGAAGGGCAGGTATGTCGGAAATGAAACAATATAGCGAAGGCGCGAGTGAGTCAGGCCTGCAGTGGGACCGCACCAGCAGCGGAAGATACCGCACCAGTGGACTCGCACGTCCCGGCAATAATACGACCAAGATGGCAAAGATCCCCGCGAAGCAGAAGAAGCAAGAAGCGAAATGGAAGCGAGTACGAGTGCAGGGCAGGTGATCGTCCAGTCCCCGTCCCCTGTCGGAGACTTGCGATGACGCAACGACGACACGAGGCTTTTGTGCGGTGAAACACGATCGGTCGGGAACGGGGGCGAGGATCGGTTGGGGTGGGGATACGATGGGAGGAGAGGGAAAGGGAGGAAAGGAAAGGAGGGAGGGCGGAGATAAGAAAGAAATGAAAGGGAGGGAGAAGAGGCGCCGAGGAGAGAAGGTGAGGCAAGGAATGCAATGCAATGAGCGCCAAAAAGATGAGCGCCAAAAGAAGAGATGGACAGATATCGCGGTCGCAATTGTAATTGTAATTGCAATCGCAGGGATGTGAGAAGGGAAGAGGAACGAGAGAAGGAATAGAATGGGAAGGACCAAAGACGGGGCGGGGGTAAGGAATTAAAAGCAAGGAAAAGCAAGAGGACGCCCATGAAACCGGGAGGAAACGCAGCGAAGAGGGGCGAAATATAAGAGCAGGAAACTGGGGCGGCACGGGCACGAGGTGGACATGCGCCCCCAAAAGACGAATACGCCCCGTCCAAAAGTGGGGAATCGATAGAGAAGGGAAAAGAAAGCAAGCAAGAAACCCAAGAAAACCACTCACCCCCCGGAACCCCCACCCCCGGAAACGTATGCCCGCTCGTCGCCAACGGCTCCACGCCCGCCTCAAACGCAGGCGAGTCCCCGAACGCGAGCGTCGTCTCATCGCCATTTCCGCCTCCTTGTGGTCGCCGAGTCGAATCGGGTGGCCGCAGTCGCACGACGACCTTCAAGCCTCGCTTCCCTCCTCCCCCGCCTCCCTGCCCTCCTCCCTGCCCAAACCCTTCTTGGACACCGGGATGCGCAGACCGCCGCCCCGCAAGCTTGCGCACGACGCGCCACGCGGGGAGGATGCGCAGGAGCGCATAGAGCGCGCGGAAGAGCGGGATGGCGTTCTTGTAGATCGTCGGCGGGAGGACGGCGCTCTCGTCTTCTCCTTCGGTCGTTGATGAGGATGAGGTGGAGCTCGACGAGCTGGAGCCTGCGGTGGATGTGGACGAGCCCGACACCGAGGCGGCGGTGGTGGTGGAAGAGGTAGGAGGGGTAGACGAGATAAGGGCAAGCACCCACTCCTCCAACAACACGTATCGCGGCTCGGGCTCGATGCGCGTCCCGCTCGGCGTGTGCACGAGCGCAGTGCCGCCGCCGGGGGGCGGGACAGCGAGGAGGACCTGCACCGCCAGCTGCGCCGAATGTGGTGAGGACGGAGGAGCGGTGCACAGCGCGCGGAAGGCGTCGAGCTCGAGGGTGGGCGTCGCGGCGGGGGGGGCGAGGGGCGTCTCGAGGTTGAACTGCGTGTCCGGCGCTCAGCTAGCATTCCCCAAAACATAATGAAAGCAACGGAGCACTAACCCACTTATCGGTCTTCCCCGTTCCTTGTCCCTGGTCGGACGCGCGGGCGGCATAGAGGACATGGAACAGCTTAGTGTACATGTGGAACGCAATCTGGTCCGCCTTCACGCGGTCGCCCGGCGCCATCCCGAGCGTGTCGATGTCCCCAAGTCAATTCAGTCAAGTTATCCAAGCTCTCCAAGCCCTTGAAAGCCTCTAGTTTGCTCGAATCAAGTCTAGTTCCCAGTAGCACCAGTAGAGGCAAGTAGCGGTCGACAGTCAACGTGTGCGCGCAGCCCCTTCAGCTCAGCGCCTGTGCATTGTATGCGCGCAGTCCTCAAGGAGATCGGGCCCGTAAATGGAAACGAGGCACGTGGTGTGGCTGTGTGGGTCTGGACCCGAGGCTGCAGGGTTGCGGGAGGTGAGGAGCAGTGACGCAGGGTTGCGACATAAATGTGTAAGGAGGGGACATTTGGGAGGCCGTGGATTTTTCCAGTGAATTATTTATCACATTTTTCGCTTCCGAAGTCAGAAATAATAAATTGGACTGTGGTTCAACTTCAACCTTGCCTGAAGAATCGCTTCCGGAGCTCAGTGACACGTCCCGGTCCCCAGATAAACCTGCGAGCGGGCGTAGACCGTGGTGTGCATACACTTCTCGGCTCTGAGCTGTCAAGCGGGTTCGACTCCCCCGCCCGCCTGGTGGTGATGATTTCAATCGTTTTGGTCCCACCAATCGTCAGGCAAGTTTTAGATCGCCTGCATAGCCGTGAGTCAATAAAGCCCTAGTTGAACCGTAGTGGAATTGTAGTTCAATCCTATCCTGCTTGAGTGTACATGTACATACATATACATGGATATGAAGCGGGCGTGGATCGTGGTACAACTCCTGTAACGAGTCCAAATACCGGGTTCGATTCCCGGCGCCTGTGCATGGACGCATTACGAAACGATTTTTTTGGGCGAGTTGGGCTGTTCATCCGAATTCTGCGCGCGAGCAGTGAGGCAGTGGTGTGAAGGAAGGGAGCGACCTAATACATGTCGAGCACGAGGAAATATATATTCGCAATTGAGATAAACCTGCAAGCGGGCGTAGACCGTGGTGTGCATACACTTCACGGCTCTGAGCTGTCAAGCGGTTTCGACTCCCCCGCCCGCTTGGGGTAATGATCTCTGAGAATTCGTTTTGGTCCACAGGCGAGTTTAGATCGCCTGCATAGCCGTGAGTCAATAAACTGTTTGAGTAAATATACATATATATGAAGCGGGTGTGGATCGTGGTACAACTCCTGTTACGGAGGGAGACCTGGAACCTAACACGATACCAGGAATTTGACAACTCAATTGAATGACAGTTTGTTGAAGGCAACGAATCTGTGGGTGGGAGAATCTCGGGATACTTCCGACGACAACCGACGGCGGCGGAAAGTCCAAGTTCAAAAGGCCTCAATGATCGTTCAAACTTCTGGACATGGAGATCCGCCCTTCCAGAAGGTGCGAGCAGAAAAATACAATTAAACTAAGACAGTCAGCATTGCGACTGCGAATACTTTGAACGAAACGATCAAGAAACGATTCAACGAACTGTCATCTAAATTTGTCAAATTTTCATCGGCAGAACGGCGAACGATGAGCACATCAATAGGACGAGGTTATATATTACGATTATATTATATATAGCTTATAGTCAAGCAGCAAATCCCAACTGCACCTCACAATGCTCAACACTCTCACTTTCATCGTATTTCTTCTCCTCGCACTTCCAGGACACTCTTGTCCTCATGCGGAACATTCCATAAGCTACAGCGACGTATTGGAAATCACCCGTTCAAATAACGATAGACGAGGTGCGCTCTCTGCCACTCTATAGCTTCTGGGTATTTAGGCAATCACAGTCACCCGCCAGATTTCTGCTCCCGCGAAAACCGCGATTACCAATGTTCGCGTCTTCAATGGGGAGAAACTCCTGCCCCTCAGTACCGTCTTCATTGAAGGAGGAGTCATCGTTCACTATGCCTCGGAAGCCATCGTAGTTGATGGAAACGGCGGTGTTCTGCTTAGCGGTCTCATTGACGCTCATAGTCACCCTCTATCTGTTGAGCATTTGGAGAACTTTGCTTCGTATGGCGTAACAACTGCGATGGCGATGAGCTGCTTCCCATACGATATCTGTGACTCGCTGCAGAACCACCCGGGCCTCACCGACATCCGCTTCGCGGCCCTGGGTGCCACTGCACCCAACAGCACACATGCGTTGCTGGGCACCGGCGTCCCCCTAAACGAAACCATAACTTCCCCTTCTCAGGCAGCCGATTTCGTCGCCAGACAGCTGGAGGCTGGCGCGACCATCATCAAAATGACTGCCGAAGATGTAGGCTCACCCACCCTGAGCCAGGAGACAATGAACGCCATCGTCGTCGCCGCCCATGCCAGGAACGTGCGTGTCGCATGCCATGCGGCCGACTACTCCGCCGTAGACAGCGCCTTGACAGCACAGGTGGACCAGTCCCACCACGTACCAAAAGACTTCCCTCTCAACTCGTCCTTGATTTCCCGCTTCCTTGCGCAGAAAACCGTCTCAGTGCCCACTCTCTCCATATTTCTGCAATTCGATATTGGCGGAAGGCCAGATGGCGCGCACGGATTCGCAGTCGCCACCGCCAGCGCCAGGGCCCTTAACGCTGCAAAGGTACCAATTCTCGCTGGAACAGACGCCAACGCCATCCCCAGTCCATTCGCCCTCGCGTTCGGAAGCAGTCTCCACACAGAGCTCGAGCTTCTCGTCCAGGCAGGGCTTTCTACAGTGGAGGCCTTGCGCTCGGCCACTGTGCTCGCAGCTCGTCACAATTTGCTTTTTGATCGTGGCGTGGTCGCCCCCGGCATACGCGCGGACCTCCTCCTGATTTCGGGGGATCCGATCGCGAATATATCAGCGACGCGGGATATACAGAGGGTATGGATTGGTGGCGTGGAATACACAGCCGTTGCGGGGAGATAGGTCGAAAATATCCTCCCGCGCTCTAATTCTTTATCCAGTTCAAATAAGTAACCTTCATCTGCGGCGCACGGGGCAAGGGCATCCACGTGATCGCGTTTTTTTTTTTTTTTGATTTGAATCATCGGCCTGAACTTAAGTAATGTATGTTCGAAAATTTTGTATGATGAAGAACCCGTTGTGGACGCAGAGGTGCCAATGAGCGCAAGCACGTGATATGGATCAACCTCGCCGTTTCCACGCTGTAAGTATTTCAATTTAACATCGCCATCTGGATGCCGCTGAGCCTGGATCCCGCCAAATATGAAACTGAGATGCTCGGCGCCCTGACCCAACTCAACAACTCCGCCGTGTTGTGTGGATCTTTCGTCCTTCAAGACTTCGAATGAATACCAGCCGCCGGGGATCCAGGAATCGTATACGACAGGCCGATTTGAAGTTGAAATACAGATTGAGGCCAGGCTTGAGCCGTTTAACCCAGAAACCGAAGTTCAGGACTCGGTGGGAAATTGCAAGGCCCAGGCGTTGTATGGAATTGTCGAAGCGAGCAATTAACGCCGAAGGCAGTCAATAGTCGGGACAAATACACAACGCTGAAAGAAAAGCGGGCATCGAACGCGTGACACTGCATTTTACAAGGGGAACTCGGGATTCGAAAAAAGTACATAGGGTCGAAAAGATTTTTTCGACCCTCGGCAGACCCCCCCTCCCCCCCCCTCCTTCCATATAGGGAAGGAGTTTCCCACCCCTAGCGCCGGGCCGTCGACTCCGCTTAGGGCCGCAGATTAGGATACCACTGGGGGCAGGCTCGACGGGCAGTTTGACTATCTTACAGTGTAGTAGCAGCTTCCTGGCCATCTAATATACCTCTGGTGTGCTCTTCCTTACACCCCTGTACTATACTGGTCTATCACCCCCCACTTTAGCACTGGGCACCAAATTATCATAACCTAGGTGTATATTGGCAGCAAAAATAGTGGGACTGTATATCCATGATAGTGAGTCTCAAGTTATTTTTTTTGAACATCGGGGAAGGTGGTTGAGCCAACGGAAGGCAAAATCTACGCGTCGTACGTGATCCGGCATTCCATATTAGGAAATTGACCTCCAAGATGGTTCGGGCATCGTACAAACCCTACCTGACATTGTCCAAATGGTAAATTGAGGGTTTTCAACCCCTTCCAACAAAAGTATCAAAAAAAAATTTTCAGCCTCCCCCGGGACCCCCCCCCCCCCCTCCCCACGTACGAAATTTTAATCCCGAGTTCCCCTTGGCATTTTAATCTGGTGTCCGAGTATTTACCTTGGTGAGAACAGAGTCTGTCCTGATGGAAGTTCGAGGGAGAGCGAGAGTAGCTGGACAAGCCCTGAGTATGCTGACCGTATCGAAATAAATCGGGCTCAGGATAACAGTGGGTCCAGCATATATGCACTCACTTCGTTCAGAGGCGTCATCTGCACAGGCAATCCACGACCCCGGTCGGCACAGCAGATATGGACGTCGACACACCGTGGCGACCTCTGCTTAAGGCTCCCACAGTTTCTGTTTTTAAATGTTTTAAACAGTAATAACCGTTTTTGTTTCTGTTTGTTTGTGGATTTGGGTAAATAAAAACTACACATGCACAGAAACAAACAGTTTAAACGGTTACTGGGAAAAGTCTGCCCAGAGGTAGCCGGGAAGGTCTGGGTGGGGAACAAGTGGGGAAGATGGAGAGACTTAAACCTCACTCAAGGCAACTCAACCCCAAATTTCCCTGTCTGAACTAATTTCAGCACATTTTGGGTGGGTATCAAATGCTGGCTCGATAAGTGAGGTGCGGAGACAGCCATCCCAGAAAGGCAATTCGGGCTTACTGATGTCCCAAACAGTTCGAACTTACCACTGAGATGATGATGTACCTTCCTTACGATGCCTGTGATGTAAATTGACAGCTATCCCTCATAGAGAGTGACCTCCTCAAATGTTGGAAAATTACTGTTTATAAACAGTTTAAACAGTTTTTTAACCATTTGCTTCTGTTTCTGTTTAGTTTGTGCTCGGCCACAAACAGAAACAAAACAGTTGGAGCCTTACCTCTGCCGACATCTGGGAACATCCTGTTTCCTCCCTCGACGCTTAGCTGGGGTGTCGAGGACCTTGCAAGGACCTCATTCAGAGCCGCCTGATTGACAGGGTAGTCTCTCGTAGACAGACGCTACAAACGGTTGAACCTCGTTCCTCGGTAGTTTGTTTGACAGGGTGATCTGGCTCTTGCGCCCACAAATCAAAATACACAGCCTTTTTCCCACTGTCAGGAGATAACTCCACAACTGAACAAGTCGGATGTTGAAAAATCATGATTTAGAATCCTGGGACTGTGAACACCTCTAATTAGGCATCTGCAGCATTTTTGGGAGGAACGATCAACTGAGGAGAGAGATGATTGTCGTGGGGAAGGAAAGGAAAGGGGACTGGCCGCAGCAGTCTCCCGACACGCAGTCTGACTGCTGTACCCGAATCTCGCTCGTAGTACTCCATCTCGAAACTGGGGTCGGAAGAAACACTGCTGTACGGGAAATGGGAGCGCAGAACGCCGTCCGGCGTTGGCAGGAACAACGTCCGAGCCATAAAAACACTCGACGAACGCTAGAACGGCCATACTGCATAGACGAGGCGAAAATTGAGACGCACTGACAAGGACTCGAGATCCGGAAAGGATCAGGAATTGGGGCCGGATAGATCCAATTTAAACTGTCGGCAAGCTAGTTCAGGAATCACCCCAAAAACCCAGTTCAACACTTCGAGTCCTATCAAACATGGAAGCAGGCGTACTTAGACCGTGTTGTACCTACTCTACCGCTCTTCTCGGTTCTCAGCTGTAAAGCTTAAGCGGGTTCGACTCCCGCGCCCGCATCGGGATGTTGCAAAGCCGTTTTTTATTCCATTCGTCTCGC